ATTTGCACCTCCCCCTCAAAATTTCGATTTGCACCTCACCCTCAAGATTTCGATTTGCACACCCCCCCCCCTCAAACTTTTCGATTTGCACCCGCACCTTCCAAGATTTCGATGTGCACCCCCCCCCCCCGCTCAAACTTTCGATTTGCACCAACCTCAACCTTTCAATTTATTTTTCCAACCCATTTTGGCGCCCCCTAAGGTCGGCGCCCGGGGACATATGTCCCCCCGCCCCCGTCCCCCCTCGCTACGCTACTGACATCACCTAAGTTGTCTCAGGACAGCAGCTGATTTTAGTCTACCTCGGGTATTTGATTTCCCCGGTACCTTCCATATAGTGGGCATTTCACTATCCGCCACCCGAGGAGACGCCCAATGGCAGATCGGCTCCTACACACAAGTAACTGCTATAGTCTGACATTATCTCTAGCCCCCCCCCCCTCCTAATCCGACGACCATGTAAATAATTGACATCTTGCAATTTCAAAAAGAGGTTTAAAATATAGGATGGTGATGTAGCTAGATACAAGTTATCCATGTGAACGTGACCGCTCTCTTAATGTGGTTGGGGGTCATCCATTTATGACGTCCACGCGCAGGGGAGGGGGTGGGGTCCGAAAAAAACGACTTTTGTAGACGCATGTAGACTGGGAAGGGGGGGGGGGGGTCGGTTCGAAGTACTAACGTTTTAATACAAACATAAAACTCGTATCATGCATGTAAAAAGTGAAATCAAGACGACAAAATGGACGTCATAAATAGAAGACCCAATGTACTTGTCTGTCCAGAAATTGACACCAAGTTGTGGATTTTTTTTTGGGGGGGGGGGGGGGGGGTAATGAACGACAATGTGACGTAGAATTGGCTTGTATTATCTCATTTATGTGTTTTAGTTCTCGCAAATTGATAGTATAATACTGTCAAGTACAGCATGACATCTTCCTATCTAGTGTCACTGACATCTACCCATTGGCAGTAGGACATTCACCCATCTAGTGTCACTGACATCTACCCATTGGCAGTAGGACATTCACCCATCTAGTGTCACTGACATCTACACATTGGCAGTAGGACATTCACCCATCTAGTGTCACTGACATCTACACATAGGCAGTAGGACATTCACCCATCTAGTGTCATCTAGCACATTTTAAGTCTAGAGAAGGTCAGGTGTTACATTTTTAAACCATTTAGTCGTAGTGACTTCCCTTAGATTGACATCAGGAAATGTCACTCTCTTCACTTGACGAGTTACTTCCCCCAACAATATAGGCGTTGATTGTAACACTAACTGTAGAAGTAACCGGGCATTTGACCTGTGGCTTAAAAGGGATTTTAGATTATAATCGAGACAGGTAGTACAGGTGTGATGAATCTCTCAACTGTGTATGATTGAGCGAACTGGTTGTGGTTATTAGGAGGCTGAGATTCAAACACTGGGAGGTGCGACAAGAAAAATTATGTATACAATACTGAGTTAAGTTATTTTTTTCCTGCAATAAAACTTCGTGTGACTGCAGTTAACTTGACTTAATTATCTTATTTTCCTTGTATATTTAAACTGATTAATTAGTTTAAATACACTAAGAGTGTATTGGTAAAATGAAAAGATGGTATTGGTAAAAAAAACAAAAACACAAAACATAGCCTGTCTATGAGAAGTTTAATATGAACTTTTCCAAAGCTAAAATAAAGTTTGATTCTATCGTCTTACTGCACAGATATCTAAAACCCAGGCGCCTTTACTGTTGTTCGTGTGCAGAGGCGTAGCGACCCCTCCCGGCGCCCGGGGACAAACTTTCAATTTGGCGCCCCCCCCCTATATTTTTTTTATATTTGTAATTCAAAGTTAGCAGATACAAATTAGCTTATTTTGGCGCCACTAGGGTCGGCGCCCGGGGACATATGTACCCCCCTGCCCCCCGGTCGCTACGCCACTGTTCGTGTGTGATTCTAAAGGCTGTTGGATAAGTGTTGTCTACGGTATTTCTTCTGATATATATTATGGAGGAGACTCCCCCAGTGTTTTTTCCAGACTTTTTTCTCCGGGGGGGGGGGGGGGGGGGGGGGGCTTGAACTTTTCGGGGGGGGGGGGGGGGTAGAATTTTTTCGGGGGGAAAACAAAGCGATGCCTGGAAGAAACTCTGACTCCCCCCCCCCCCCAACCACCACTTGGCGCTCATCCAGCCCACCCACAAGAGCAAATATTTAAAGACAAAATATATTTTTTAACCATTGTTCGTTCGCACACCTACCACCAAGGTTTAAAGCCCCCCCCCCCCCCGGTAAACCCAGGATCAACAAACTGACAATTTTTTCATAAAATGGCAACATTTACATTTAGTTTTTTTTTTTTTTTTTTTTTTTTTTTTTTTTTGATTTTTTTTTTTACAAATATCAAAACTAAAATATAACTTTCATTGTGTCTCTTTTTATATTGTTAGCGGAAATTATTACTATTTTATCTAAGGTAAGCATAAATGTTGCATAAATGTTGCAAACCTCTATTGCACTCTTGGCGCAACGACAGGCTGACCACATTTTGGTTGCCAGTCACGGCAGTAAAAAATTGACTTCACTTCAAAGATTTACCCCGACTGTCACCGTAAAACAAATAAACAGCGTAAAACACGTAAAAAAAAAATCCACAGTGATTTATATATTTTGGGAGTAGATCTTATTTAAAAAAAACTTTTAAAATGTAAATTACATGGAATAATATAATGTAAGCCTAATATTCCTAATTTTGACACAGAAACGTAAATTTTAGGTAGGCTAAAGGTTAAATAGTAAGTAAAAAAGTATTTTGTACCAGCATTGTAGACTATGAGCAAAAATATAATTTATTACTTAGTTTAAATTTGAAAATACACACATTTTAACCAAGTTGAAGGTTAAAAGTAAAGGCATACAATTTATAGCTATAATAAATATAAAGAAGTTTAATTTATAAGTAAGGTTAAAAACAAATAAATATAAGTTATAACTAAAGCTCTTACCACTTATTGTTGTAGCCTGTATTACGTAATGTGTGGCCAAAAGCAAGCTCTAATTTATATGGTGATCTGTATCGACCGGTTTCATAAGATTTACATAAGTTTTAGATTAGAAAAAGGCGGAGAAACTAATCAAAGACATTAAACGATATTAGGCAGTCTCTTTAGGATTAGTAATCTCTGTAAACTCTCCGAATTTTTTGTGGGATTACAACCTGACTCGCCCACTTTTTAGTGGGATTATCGTCTGCATTAATTCACGTCTGATAGCTTGGTGATTTTATCAGCAGGGCTAAGAGTTCACACATTTCCCAATGTCACAAGCATTGTACAAGTGTAGGAACAGACCGGGGGGGGGTATTACGTGGAGTGTCTAGCAGATATAGTTATCACTCAGGGAGACATCTAGGGTTTCTTTCATTATTTTTTTTCCGGAGAAAGTGGGTATTTGAAACTTACGTAATTATCGGGTGGGGGTGGACACTTAAGTATATATTTTCAATATAAATAATTTTTTTTTCTATTTTGTCGGAGGGAGGTGGGAGATAAAGACTGATAATTATGAATTTAAAAAAAGGTTGTGTTGATATCTCTGCAACAGTTCGGCATGTTCATCATGTGATGTGGCCTAACACAACTATCTGATCAAACTGTTGTGAGAGTTGTACATTGAAACACTAAAATCTTAATACAAAAGCTAGAGTTGAAGAGAATGGTTTATTTTCGGTGATAAAAATTGTGTCTCTGATCAAACCTATACGTCTAAAATATAATGTAACTTTCCTTTTGCTTTACCCCCGGTTATTTTTACCAATTAGCCATGAACTTTAGTTTGCTAATTTGTCCCCCCCCCCTCCCTTCCCCGCTGTAGCAGGCCCACATAATTATGTCAATAGTTAATCTATCTCTTATGTAAATAGCTGAAGCAGAGTTAAAAGTCAATAAATCTGTTAGCGAATCCTGACGCAATAACCTGACTATCTGTGGGCTGATCTTATACTTTAACTAAATGTATTTTTCTTTGAGACTACGTGACAGATGGACGCGATCACGTCTGAAGATATATTCACTGCTGCACTGTTAAGATTTGATTAACCCTTTTATTCCTGGTTTAGAACTATGTACTGCTACGCATACTTGCTGACACGGCGAGAGTTCGTGCTTAAATGATGTCACAGTCAGGGTGTGTGTGAGGAGGGAGGGGGTAGCTCTCGCTTTAGCGACGATTTGAGGTATGGGGGAGGGGAACTGTTTTTACGACTCGATAACGCATAAAACGCCAAAACGTTTATATATTTGTATTTATAATTTTTGCCTGATTAAAATAAGTCCTCTATACTCCGGATGTGATGAAGGACTGAGGAGCAAAACGGTGAAAACTGTCAAAATTTCATGTTATTTTTGTGCACGATTACAATACTTTTTCTATACTTCGTATATACGAGAAAGTAAAAAATTGAAATTCTTGCGTTGTCGTCGAAGAACAATGTATCTATCTGGAAAATTTGAACGAAATCGCTGCATTAGAAGCGGTACAGAAATGACTTACATCATTTGCCACAACCGCTCCAGTGTGAACTAAAAAGCTTATAAAAATAGTGAGAGCCTTGTTAAAATTTTACTAGAATACTTATTTTAGGTGGGGTGGAAATTAGTGACGTAACTGAAGTGGAAGATTTTTTTGTGACACCTGCTGTTTGGGTGGGGTAAAATTGTGGCATTATTAATGGACAGCTACTACGAATGGTGGTATTTAGTTTTGGAAGGGGGTAACGTAAAGAGAGAGAAGCATGTGATTGTGAAGAATGGTGGAGTTACGAAAAGGGAAGCAACTAGCTTCTCAATGTGGCATGTAGCATGATTAACATGAGACCTAACGTATATGGTCGCCTCCCCTAGTTTCCAAAATTGGCATTTTAAAATTCTGTAGTATCATTTCTAACAACTTTCTTTTAGAAGTTGACTGATAATGGATTTTAAATATAAAATACATAACAAATCACATAACAAAAAGATTTTTTTATTGTAAACCAATCATGTCCTGAAAAATTGTTAGATGATGCAGTGTATAACATAGGTAAAACAGAAAGTCAAAGCTCTGAACTAGGTCATATAAAAACTGTTGATTTCAACAACTTTGGCAGCAGGCCTGAAGAAATCTTACGATTTACAAGCAACTTTTGATTTAAAATTATAACTTATTGTTAAAATAAATAAAACTGTGGAAGATAAATGTAGATTTTTAATCATCATATTAATCAAAAATAAGTTTAGACAGGTTGATGAAGCACATGCTAAAAGAAACAAATCTTCCTGTTTAAAATTGAAGTTCATGCAGTGATCAAATCTGAAATCTAAAACTACAAACAGCACACAGTTGGCTAGGGATAAAACTTTAGCTAGACAAAACATGCAGTATGTGATGTACTTTGTTTATCAGGTAAAATCATTATGTATAGGTGAGTTAATTAGTTCACATAAATTAATATTTTGACATGTGTATTGATTCACTTAAAATTATAATATATTAATGTTGTTAGTTGAATCAGGTAAAATTATAATTTACTACTTTGTTGCTGACATCTGGTAAAATTTATATTGTATTGTTATATAAAGAAGTTTAAAACTTGAAACCTTCAGATACTATGAGGTTATTGATTAAGTGAATCATTTTTTTTCATATTCAATAACAATGTGTAACTGGGATTTTACACAAGTAAAAAAATGCTTGGATGAAATAATAAACATTAAATAAAGACCAATCAAATATTTCCATCAACCTTGACCCAAAAAAGCACCAAAAAGTAACTTTCACAATTATTTCATACAGTTAATATAGATGTTTACAAAATACCAATCAAACAGTAAAAAAAATATCCTGGAAATAAATTTAAGGAATGTAATCAGATCATGGGCGCCTTATCTCAAAAAACCTTAACAATGGACTGGCCTTTGAAACTTTATAATTGACCTTTGAAATATACTTAGAGTATTATAATTGACCTTTCGGTCTTTTCATTTCTTACAAATTCAATTTTGTAGAAATTAAACATGAATCTTTAAAAAAAGGATAGATACAATTCATTTTTGTCACTATAATTTGTCATGTTACTGTTCTCTATCTAAGCAAAAGATGATGTTAAAACATAGTGGAGTAAAAAGGAAAAGAGTAAAACAAGAATTATAAAATTCTCACAAGCAAAGAAAAATTACAGGAATAAAAGATTTAAAAGTGTCTGTGTTACACAGTAATAAAATCTGTCATGTGACAATGTTTAAAAAATATACTTAAAATTTATTGAGACACATTTACTCTTTATTTATTCATTATCTGGGAAGAAAATCAGGCAAAAATAATAATTTAAATTTCACAATTCCACAAACCACTTTACTAAATGTTGAAACAAATTGTTTATAGATCATGATGAAAAACATTTCTTTAAAATATAAGAAGAATAAATAAAAAAATAAAAAGTTTGCATTAGTTTTTAAATAACAGCAACATTTTGTTTTTTATGGGTTCATAACAGTAATTGTAAAATTTTTTAAACATTAATGCCAATAAATGTATAAGTTGAGTTAGAAATGAAAATTCTATACATAAATATATAAAAATAACTTTTATAAAAATAATTCTTTTACAATGTAAAATGTCCACAATCAATTGAAAATCCAATTTAATGACTTAACAGTTTTAAACTTTGATATGCAGCTTGTATGTTAATCAAGAAACCGACCAACTGAATACACATGAATATATAGAATATTTTTCTTGTTTACATATTTCTTTAGTTTTAACAATAATTTCAAAATTTATTTAGGTATTTATACAAATATTTTCAAAATAAGGACATGATAAAAAAAGTTTGTTGGCTCAAACATTTCCAAAATCTGATTGTAATGCTTTCAAAATGTTCAATGTATTTGATTATATTGATGTAAAAGCATTAAATGACATAACACAAGATACAATGCTAGTGGCAACATGATACCAGATGAAAAATTCCTGAGATTAAAATTTGAAAAAGGAAATACGTCATCTGTTATTTTATCATTTTAAAATAAATATCAACTTGTCAATGAATTACTATGTCATGTCTTTGGTATATAATTTGTATATATCTAATGTAGACATAAATTAAAAGTATGTATATTGTACTCAAATAATTCTTTTTATTGTGAGATTATAATTTTGCTTCTATTTTTTTAAAGATTAAAATTTGAAAATAAATTAGATCTGATTTATCTATAAATTCTAAAAAAGAAGCTTTTTTAAATGTAAATTAGTTTAAAAGTTTAATAAATACTCAAGTTTAGAATTCTTGTAAAAACAAGTTGAAAAAGTAAGATCTTTACAACAAAGGGTTAACACCACCATTCTCCAAGCTGTTTTGATGGCTCTCAGCTTCTGCTGGGGTTATGTCCCTTTGAGTCTGACTATCCTTATAGTTTGACATGTCTCCATTCCCAGAGAGATTACTCTCCATGTTATCTTTTACCAGCAACTCAACTTGCACAGAGCTGGATGCTATCTCTGACTGTCTGTGTAGCCTGTCAGGTAACGGCGCTCCCATTGTTTCCTTCAGTAGCAGCATCAGAAAGCTACAAGCTACAGACAGGATACCAAATATGGTGAATGGAATTTGCATTGAGGACTGGCCCTGGTAGAAAAAAAAATGAAAAATTTCAACCACAACAATTATAAATATAATCAGTAATATAATCATATTTCTGCTTTGTAGTTTTTGTTAATTGCATATACTTGTAATAAGTGAACATTCAGAAGGACTTCTAATAAGTACTATGTCTTCCATATTGATAAATTTACTGTTAAATTGAATTGTTTAAAATACTTCTAAGTAACTTTAGTAACTTTGTAAATAAAGTTCACTGTAAATTAATTTCTATTGAATTATAAGTTAAAATTACCAATTCACCAAAGCAAGGACTTTAGAAATGTACCCCAACAAAGTTATCTAAGAATTTTAATAATGTAAAAACTAACCAAAAACCCGAACTGTGGTGCCACTATGCCTCCAATTCTTGCTGCCATCGAACACGCACCAATGCCAATATTTCTGTTTAAACGACACATTTAAAGTTTTAAAATTATAAAATCAAGTAAAAAAAAATCATTCAATTTTTTACATTAAAATAAATAAAGAAAACACTTACCTAATAACAGTGGGAAAAGTTTCAGCAGAAAAAATCTGAACAGCTGCCCAACCTCCAGATATGCAAGACTTTCCAATCATAGCCATGGTTATGGTCAGTGCTTTCCTCTTTTCTAAGTCATCCTCTGATGACACTGAAAGTTATTTAGAATAAATGATAAATTAGAATTAGAACTTAAATTCGGAAAGAATAGATAAACAACTTAAGTACTTTTAGTATGCATATTGCAGGGATTATTTTAAACAATGAATAAAAGAAATGGATATAATTTATACGCTTCTACTACTTTCAAACAAAAGAACACATTCTTACAAGAGAGTAAATTTATCATGTATAACAGGTAATACAAATAACTTACCAAATGCATCAATGAGCAGGATGGAAAAGCATGCCAATCCAGAAATAAACATTAGATAAAACACTGTTTTACGTCGTCCAAAATAGTTGTTGCTAACTAATACAAATATCAAAGCTGGGATCTCCACCAATCCAGAAATAAATACATTTAAATAGCGGTTCCCAACTAAGTTTTTACTGTTGAAATTGTGTCCATAGTATACTGAGCTTGATACAAACCTGCAAATAAAGATAAAATCTTCACAGAGTGGTTAAGACAACAACGCAGCAAAAAGATCGGCATGTGTCCCAAAATTAATACTACTTAAAAAAGTGTATATTTAAAGTTAATGCAGATTTTCTCAAGATGTATTTAATAAGACAAAAACTAAATTTTGATGATTTTTTAATGTTTTTTAAATGAGTTATTCTTAACTAAAAACTGAATTTAATCCTTAGAGCTGTATGAAATATTTTTTAATTACCCCAAGGATGTCAGGCTCCACAAAAGCTGTGGTGAACTGATAATAAACCTACACCTACACACATTGCCTCCATTTACAAGTTCTTAATTGCATTTTAGAATAGAAAAAAAGGGAATTTGAACCATTACCATCCAAACATGCAAATGAGACTCCCTTTTGTTAAATGAAATGAGCTACATAGGTGCCAGTAAGAATAAGTTCTCTCCTCATTTTTTCTGATTTGCTCTCTCTGAAGAAGAAAAATTTGAAAGACTTTTTGTATTGTCTTTAATAAATAAACCAAAATTATTTTATATTAACATGACTGTAAGAATAATGAAACGTAATATACAAACCTTTACAAAATTTTGCAAGCAACTTAAATCAGGTACAGGCCTTTTGTTAAAGTTTGCAGCTTTGACAATGATTTCTTCGGCTTCTTTCAAATAGCCTCTACTCAATAACCATCTGGGACTTTCATCAATAAACCTTACATAAATTTACAAATATATTGTTATAATAAGTTATGACTGCTATGAAAGCATTTTAAAACAAATATTTACTTTGAAAAAAAACTGCAATTAAAATTTTCTTTATTTTGAATTATTTTTTTTTTTACTTACCACCACAGTAGAAGCAAAATGACACTACTGCACGACATAGCAATGTCTAAAGTCCTCCAGTCCCTCAATAAATAAGCCCAGGGTGCCAGGGTCATAAGTCCCACAGCCCAAAAACCAATACAACCACAAAAAGTTCTCCAGGCTGGTGTAACAAATTCTAATGGCAACACAAAATTAACAACAAGGCACCCTGGAAAAATATAAACATCATTATATCTCACCTCAAAAGTAACGATTACAAGTAGGTCTGTAAAAAAAAACAAAAAAAACAGGATTTACCTCCTATAAGTCCACCAACAAGAAATCTTAATGTTGCATAGATTTCCCATCTTGGAGCAAATCCGGTACAAAACCATAATACAATAAGCAGGCCATATTCAATAAACAAAATTTTTTTTCTACCAAAAATATCAGCCAGCTGTCCAGTAATGAGAGCTCCAAATAACACACCAGTCATTTGTAATGAAGTTATGAGATCACTGATGTACTCCTTATCACATACAAGACCCCACTGTGAACAAAGGTTTGATAATCATTAGGTGTCTAAATAACTATATAAAATAGCTTCATATTGAACTAAAAAAACATTCCAAAAGAATTACATGTTTTTTGCACTATGATTAAAGTGAATTTGACGATTAAAAATGATAATAAATGAGTCAAATTAATCAATACATATTTAAATTTTTAGGTGAAGTAACTAAGTAAGAATTAATAATACATTAATTTTCGTGCAATTAAAAAAGACAGAAAAGCTATTACTTAAACTAAGAAATACATTTTTAATAGACAATGATAAAGTAATGATTAATTAATTAATTAATTATTTATCAACTTTTATGGCTTGAAAATTTACTCATTTAAAAAAAAACTTGCACAATAATGTTTGCATACCTCTGAGACAATAGAAGTATAATCAGGAAGAAAAGAAATATTAGGTACAGTCTGACAATAAACATTTTTTCCACAGCCTAATTGTTTAGATTGATTTTTGTTTAATCCCCAGAAAGTCGTATTTAACTCTTGTGATGTGTCACAGAAAACCCCTGGATTTGAAGCAGTAAATATTGGTGCCAGCATGGCCCAGGCCAGAGGCGTCTCAAACAGTGATACCAACACAAATGTTCTAATTTGGTATGGCCCAAAAGGACGAATCTGTTCAAGCACATTCTCATACTCAGACATGGTAGCTACTGTTTATGTTCTGGTTCAAAATTGGAAGATCAGAAATATGTCCTAACAAAACATGACCTGTGAAAAAAAAAGTTTTGCATTTTAAATTCAGCTACAGAAATATAATAGCTCAAACAACAAATTATTTTTTAAAATGGCTGAATACGTGAATATGATAAAAAAAATTAAAAATTACAAAACAATCATATGGGCCTAGAGTTGGTTTGGTAGAATTAATTTATGAGCTCCAGTATATCAGCATGCCATCACAGAACTTATTAATACTTTTTTTGCTGGTATTATTATTTAATATTAACTATTAACACAAGTCACAAGGCAATATTAATACAGTAAATGGGCATGCTAGATAGAAAAAGACAAAGTAAGGAGATATAGGCCTATTTACTAGGCCTATTTAAATTTATTATTATTTTTAGGCCTTAGTAGGGCCTTAGGCTAAGGAAGATCTAATGGATTTTTTTTTTTTAAAAGTCTGTCTAGTCTAAATCTAATAGTAAATTTAGCAGGCCTAGTTTCAACTAATTTGTAAATTTGTATTATTTGACTATAATACTAGTACTAGGTCTACCTCTGAAAAAGTGAAAATAGAAAAGTGTAAGAACTGGTTTAACTTACTAGATCTAGATTCTAGTAGATCTAGATCTAGTACTTAACACTAACACTAGGCCCTACACAATATATTAATAAATTATATGACATAACACATGATAACAGCCTAAGGCCTAACAGGGATAACAAACATGTGATACAGTAGACAAGTAAAAGACAGTAAAATTGAGTAAAAGTAAAAAAAAAACTTTGAAAAAAGAGTAGACTAACAATAACACTACTATTTTTTAGTAACTAACAGTAACACTAACAGTACAGTGTTAGCTACTTCAACTTGAAACTAGATACCGATAAAAACGTTATATGCGTACTATAAATAAGACTACTTAAATAAGCTGCGCTATTTGTTAGGATAGCTTCGCGAGTACAAAGATCATTACTAGCATATCCTTCAGATTCACAGACACCCACACTCCACGATGTCTGGTAACCAAATGTAAACAGCACTGAAAAGTAAAAGAGAGTTATAACCCTTTAAACGGAAATTCATCTTTTTGGTAGGTCACTATTTATAGAAAATTGTTCGGTGCTTCTCAAATATTTATCCCCTCCTTACAACTTTAAGACTAAACTGCTATTTAATCAGAAACCGATGTTAACGATTTAAAACAATTAAATTATTTATACTAATTTCAATATCTTTTTATATATTTTAATATCTTGTTTTAAATGCTTTTGCACTTTCATGCATAATTGTTTTCGTTTAAATAGTACAATAATTTTAACGATTAACAGTAATACCAGAAGGCTTATAATCGTTTAACAGAAAGAATTACGAACGGCAATAAACTAAAATGAGACATCGGTTTAATATTAACATTGTAAAATTCCCAGTACTATTGGCTTAAAAAAATAATGACAGATAATATATCAATATATTTGTTGTGGAAATAGGACAAAGGCGAGTAGTATTTCCCGTATAACGGAAAAAGTACTAGAAAGCAAAGCATATTTTAATCCCTGTTGGGCCTATATTTTGAAGCTTTAGGCTTTAATATGCTAATAAAATTATTAGCCACACAAAATACTCAAGTTGGGCGATAAATAGTGAGTTTGTTAATGTTCAAGTTAGGGGTCATCCATAAATGACGTCATGCTTTTTGGGACGATTTTTACCTCCCCCTCCCCTCCGTCACACGTCGTCGCAAAAAAGCCAGACACCCCCTAAAATGACGTCACACCTCAGTCTACAACCCCCCCCCCCTCAAAATTGCTGTTGCATTTTTCTTAAAACAACGGTATTTTTTCCAAAATCTTACAATTTATTAAAACCGTGTTCTAAAACGCGAAATAACGTCTAAAACTCGTTTTCTAGCATCGCTTTTTTATAATGCAAAAAACTGTCGTCACACCATTTTACCCCCCCCCCCCCATCACACACCGTCACAAAATTACGGATCCCCCCCCCCTCCCCCTACGAGTGTGACGTCATTTATGGACGACCACCTAGTAAAATTAATTGAAAATACAAGTATTCAATCAAAAATACATTTACGATATCGCTCAAAGAATATTCCTTGCTTTTGACGTGTAAAATCAAGTAAGCGGAAATCCTTCGCCTTCACGAATCAAACTATTTTATACTAATATCCAATAATAATTTTTTGGGTCTCCCATAAATAATTACATTTTATGAAAACATAAAGCTAAATAACGGAAAAAAATTAGTGTCAAATTACTTTTTCAAATTGTAAAACTGTAACGTTGCTCATCTGTCTGACCCACTCCCACACAGAAAAGTCACTTCGTTTTATTTATAAAGTATAGACGTTCTGTTTTATAGTTTGAGAAGCCTCGTTTGCCACACAGTAAATAGGCCTACGAAATTTTCTAAAAATAGATTTTTTCTAACGGTAAGAGTAAATATCGACATGTGTTAATAATTATGTTATTTCAGAACTACTAAGAAAAGTACGCAAAATGTTTATGCTGTATATATAGATCTACTTGTGTTTTATAGTTACATTTACAATGCTCCCTCCCCTCACCCATCATTGTCAATCGTCCTAAAAAAAGTCAGACCTGTTTGGTCAAGATTAAGTGCCGTATTTATTTCATATTTAATCGTATTTATTTCAATATACAAAAATAAAAGTCTTAAAACATTGTTAAAACTCTACCGGGGCTTTCTAGACTACCGCGCTCCACCTAGTTAGAAATCTATATACCCCCCCCCCCCCCATCAGGAATATGACGCATTGTATGGACTACAATAATTAGTATCCAACATAAAGCTGAATAAATTCTTCAGTATTTTACCTCGCAGTGCAGTTCTGCTTGATGACAGCAACAGTTGAAAAACTCCATTTTTGTAGTGGAAGTTTTGTATTAAATGTAGAACTGTGTTGTGTCGTTGATAATAGGGTAGGATCGGCTGATTATGTTGTCAGGTTATCCGGAGATCTGCTGCATCTGTTACTGACATAGGCGCACGCAATATTGGCTAGGTCAAGTGGACGCATAGAAACATTACCCCACCCCCACCATATCTAAAAAATGTGTATTACGAAGTGTTAGTCTTGATAAAAATACAAAAGTACATATAAACATGAGGCTAACAAACAATTAAGACTAAGCACCCATTGTATGTGTCATGGTGAGTTACAAATGGAAGTGAGGGCGTAGTGTTTGGAGGGGGGGGGGGGTCAAAAGTGTAATTATAAATTTATTAAATTGTGATTTAAAAACAAACATTTAGATACTACGAGACAAAAGACATTCTTTGAATGATGAACAATATTGAGAGTAAAATTTCTTTTGGGGATGGGGACGGAGACGGGGGGGGGGGGGGGGATGAGGTACACAAGCTTGTATCTACAATGACGTCAAATTTATCGATTTTTAAATTCCCTGTCGGCCATACGTTGTGTGACTCCCTGTTGGGTCATACGCTGTGAGACGAAGTTACTTAGACGAGCTCAATTTGTTGTCACAAGTTATAAGCCTTAATGAGTGCATTGCTGTGCCGGCTGCTGCACATACATTATCCTACTGTAGTCATGTAATGCACTTAACAATTCAATGTGACAAAAAAATAGCTGTTGGGGTAGTAAACAAATATAATTTTAAAGTCCAGCAAAAAGAATGTGAAAGTAGACTAGACGTTACAGAGGCGTATCGACCCTTACGGCGCCCGGGGATAAACAAGCTTTCAATTTGGCGCCCCCTCTGGAGCAAATTTTCAATTTGAACCCTCACCTCCCTCAAACTTACGATTTGCACCCCCCCCCCCCTCAAACTATAAATGTAGCTAAAAAACATTTTAATTTGTTTTTACTACCCATTTTGGCGCCCCCTAAGGTCGGCGCCCGGGGACATATGTACTCCCCTGCCCCCCCCCCATCGCTACGCCCCTGAGACGTTAGTCTAATAGATTTGACATGACAACTTTGACGTCAGTAGAAGCAGCCTGGCTGGTGGGCTGTGGTGGTAAATAAGTTAAATCCATTAAGTTGACGACTCATTGTAATTTGAGCTCATGTATTGTTTGTGATCTTCTACTTGTATAATGTATATAATGCTCACAATTAAATTACGTCAAAGTTATGTCCATATTCGGACACCATCGCATATATTCAAACTCCAGATCTCATTAACTGTGTTGCTTTTATAGCTACTATCGACCCGCATTATTACTATCGCATTGGTAAAAATTTACTTAGGCATTTACTGTGCTGCTGGCTAAAATCACGATCGAGAACAACCAAACTGATGGTAAAAACTTAGGGTTACCATGGATTTATCATGAACGATGTTTAATAATTATTGATACAAACTAGTGTTCCATCGAAAAATCAATCGTTTGTCAAGCTAACATTCCTTCAAAATAATAATTCTTTCAACATAAAAACGATATTTTCTCCCACATCTTGGGCCAACAGCCTGACTACAGTTATTTCCCTTTCTTCCTATCAACCACAAACATGATCTACCAAATAATTTACATTAAAAAAAAATAATAAACAAAAAAAAACCAATGATTTTTCTTGTCACAATAGAGACTTGAACTTAAGTTAAACTATTTGCTATCAGTAAATTATGATGGTTTAAAAAACTTGTAACTTTGACTAATATGATGGGGTATATATACAAATTATCATATGTAAATTATTTTTTATAATTCAACGCTAATGTAGGCCTCAACTCATCTGAATTAGACAACCAGTGTCAACATGTTGGATGAGGTGTCGGGAGAACTCAGTCTCACAGTACAGTTATGATCGATCTCTATACCATTAGGATAATAGGGTAATTTACTCGGTGATTTGGCAAACAACATTACATCAAGATTAAGTCATTTGTAAAAAAAAACATTTATGATGTAAATGTTTTATCTTGAACTGTCTTCAAACTACTTCTTTTCCCAGTCCTGGCTAAAATTTAGGTCGGATCCCACGACCTTCCACCCTAGGCAAACTAAAAAATAAGCGTGATCTCTGATTGAATATTTAAAAAAAAAATACATTTAAAAAAAATATTACATTACAATTATTTCATTTGTTATAGTGAGAAAACATGCAGTCAGAGTTTCTTTCAGATTTTTTCTCCGGGGGGGGGGGGGGCGGCAGTGTTTCTTCCAGGTATCTCTTAAAGGGGGGGGGGCTCAGTCTACCGCTCAACCCCCCTCCCCCCGAACGAAATGGAATTTATATAGAAAATATATTACTTTTAACAGTGTACACCCCCCCCCCCGAAACTTTACCCCCCCCCCCCGAAAATTTCAATTGCCCCCCTCCCCCCCCCGAGAAAAAAGTCTGGAAGAAATACTGGGGGGGGGGGTAACATACAACTTTCGGGCAAGGCGGGGGCCGACAAAAATTTTCAGGGTTGGGGGGGGGGGGGGTGGCAATGGTAGCTTTATCCATCTTCTAAATAAATTCAGTACTTAAAGTTTGTATTAATGTTCACTTGTTTTTACAGGGAGGTAACTGAGTATGACGAGACTAAAATTATTACTCTAAATTACTCTAAATTACTTCCCCTGTGTTTGATTCCTGTGTCTTCTCTGTCAAAACAAACGTTACGTACTAGATCAAGAGTCTAGACACAAATGACATAACAAAATCATGTGACGTAAAGAAAAGTGTCAGTTGCTAACATAAACTATTCAATGAGCATGTTACAATTATTAACATTCCTCATATCACATCAAAAGCTTAAAAACAAATTAAAAATAAAATATAATTCTAAATTTTGAATTTTTAGATCACACTATAAGTGTAATAAAAATTTAGGTTATATAAAAGTTAGCCTGCCTAACCATTAAGTCATAGCCCGCAGAAAACAGCTACCTAGGTAATTTGATCTGAAGTTAATTTCTTCAACTGTTCTAAATGGTAACCCATCTTCCAAGTCAAGTATCCAGGTCTTTCTTAATCCACTTTATAATGTGAAAGCTGGTTGAGGCTACTACAAACATAACTAATTACTTTATAAAACATTGCTGATACAGTAAACAATTAAGTGGCTGTTGCCAAGCTGAGTTGGCTATGGGGTCGTCCATAAATGACGTTACACTCGTAAGGGGAGAGGGGTCCGTAATTTTGTGACGGTGTGTGATAAGGGGGAGGGGGGGGGGGTTCAGATGGTGCGACGTCACACTTTTGCATTATAAAAAAGCAAAGTTAGAAAACGAATTTTTGACGTTATTTCGCGTTTTAGAAAACTGTTTTAATAAATTGTAATAGGAATTAATTAAAACACTCTATTTTGACAGAGTTCAGAGAAGAATTTAGAAAAATATCGATGTTTAAAAACAAATTCAACCGCAATTTTGAGGGGGGGGGGTTGTAAGCTGAGGTGTGACGTCATTTTGAGGGGGGGGGGGGTCTGGCTTTTTGTGACGACGTGTGACGGAGGGGAGGGGGGGGGAGGTAAAAAATGTCGAAAAAAGCGTGACGTCATTTATGGATGACCCCTTTACATTAAAAAAGATTATAGATCTTGGGAAATTTTCTATAAATGTGGAGTGTTCAACGACAAAAAATGTTGGAGAGTACAAACAATACAAAGAAACCCAATAACTGTCATTAAATAAATGGAGATATAAACTTAAAGTGTAGTGAATAATAACTTTACATTATCATTATATTAATTGTAATTTTTAAATGGAAGGAGCATGTTGATAAAATCCACTCTAAAGGTATCAATGAAAATCTAACCTCAGCTAATTTTCTTCTAAGTTTCTTTCAGACATCTTTTTTGAGGGAGGGGTAGCAGAATGTCCACTGTGTCATGGACGGAATAGAAAAAAAATTAATAACTTTTTAAAAGATTAAAAATTTTTCTAGATATAGACCTACTTTAAAACAGTGTGCCCACTCCACCACCCTCCACACCACCGAAAATTTAAGTAGGCCTACCACCCTTGAGAAAAAAGTCTAAAAGAAACACAGGCAAATTTGTTCAGTTTTTTCCCACTAAAAATGTAACGGTCTACTTTAAATTGCCATCATTTAATTGTAAAATATTTCACACTTTAACAAGACCCGTTGAATTCGATGCGACCAACAGAGAAAACATCAAGGGAGTTAACAATTATTAACCCACAGGATTAGTCCAATAATAGTAAGTTCCCTTGAATGAGTGGCGCTGATTTTCATGACGTCATAATCTTCATTAAAGGGAGCTAACTCAGTGCTAAAGCAGCAGAAAACATTTATGTAGATTTTAAAACCTGCAGGTTAAAACGATAACATAACAAAATCATCTTATTCTTATGTGTAGTGTTTGTGTTGCATATTCATTTTGCATTGGATGAACAAGTGCATTCGATATGGATTTAAACTTGGATGCTCGTATAAATTGCAAAGTAACCTATTTATGTACAGGTTAAATACAAAATTGACGCATTCTTCCTTCTCTTCAAAAAATTATTTGTACAGTTGTAACAGTAGATTTACTTCGTCGCCGTCAAATTCGAAGCATAGCTTCATTTCTGTGTCATATTCTTTTAAAAGTAGATCCAGATCTAGATCTAGATCTAGTTGCAGTTTCACTTGGGCTAAACGCAGTTTATCAACAATAACAGACACACATTTTAACATGGAAGGGGATTGTACGAAAGTGATGCTTGTTACAGCGAATGTTGGCTCGATTTTTGAGGAGGTATGATTTTTTTTAAGTTTAAAAATAAATTAGATTTTAGATTCCATATCTAAGATTCTACCTATTCTAGAGGTTTATAGATCTAACGTAAAATTATTTCGGGGAATTTTATACCAGTGTCCAATAATAGAATCTTCTTAATCTTTAAAAAAAAAGGGTGAAGTGTAAGGCACTGTTCTGTAAGCAGATCTAGATTCTAGTTAACTAAATTAGTAAATACACACATTGCTGGCTAATGTCAATGCTAACTCTGTCCCTAACCCCAACCCTAGTCCTACCATACTCCTAACCCTAATTTCTAACCATAAAATTATTCGAGATTACAATAGTACTAACAACCCAACACACCTATTTTTTTTTTATGGAAGAGTCTATTATCGGACATTGGTATCTAAAATCATCTGGTAGCCTAAAATTCTACATTCCATAAAGCCTATTTTTCTACATTCTATAAAGCCTATTTTATATGCTGTAATTGATAAACAGGCAATAATTTGTTGTTTTGAAATGACAAGCAAAAAAATTCCTAGTCTGGTATGAATTGCTTAAAAAAATAATTCTTTGAAATGTAGCAAAACATCCTTTCAATCTACGCCAAAACAAACATTTACAGAAATTGGTCTAGCGGTAGAAAGCTGGATTGCTAACCTGTAAGTCTCTAGTTCGCATTCGGGTTCAGGTTAGTAGACCGTCCCTGAGTTCACCCAACTCTGATGGGTACCTAACTCATGTTAGGGAAAGTAAAGGCGGCTGGGCATAGTACTATCTCTTCATATGCCGAGGTAACAGAAACAAGTGAACTCTACTTCCCGTGCCCTATAGACCTTTAGATTTGAAAAGGAAACTTTACCTTTACTTTTTTTTAAACCATTTAACAATTGTATTTCTAAATTGCAGATGGCCATTTATTAAAATATCAAACTGTCATATTCATTAAAATATTTAATAAAAAGTTTTGAATATTGGCACATTTTATTATTTTGATTACTTATATGGCAGATTTTCAATATTTATTTTTTCAATGTATTAAAACTTTTAAAAAGTTTTCTTAAGTTAAAAATTTAAAACTGCTATTTCTACAATTTTACAACTTAAAACACGTACATGTCTAAGAATACATTTTTTGTTTTTTCTGTTGCCTTTTTTGTTCGGTATTATTTTTTCTAATCATGTCCTGACCCCCTGTTTATTTTAGTTACATATTTAGTATCATTTAGTATGTTGTCTTTTGTTGCTATAGTGAAGTGTAATAAACAAAGATACAAAATTTGAAATCAGCATCACATATTACCAATAACATCTTGTCCAAATAACCCATATCTTCACCCCCATCTAAATAATAAACTTTTCTAAAGCTTAATGTAGTCTTATTTTAATTTTATTTTACATGAAGATTCTTCAAAAATGGTAAATGTGGTCTGTAAATTCTTAAACTTTGCCTTATTTGTATTAAATACCCTTCTAAACTGGTTAACTCTGGAACAAAGCAGAACATACTTGAAATGTAAAGTTATCAAATAGAATTATTTCTTAACTCCTTGTTCTTATATCTATTCAACCAACACTTTTAGAATCTTTATCTTTAATGCCAGTATACAGTGACATTTTTACCTGTAAATTAAACTACCCTGAAGGAATGCTATTAACAAGGACATTCATTGTTTTTCTCTTACAGCCTGACACTATGTTTCCATCATGGCTGAAAGCCTTTTTTCAGGTAACTTATATTATTTTATGCTTACTGTATTTTTCATTAAAAAAAAAAGAGTGAATTTGTAACACATATTTTTTTCCAATAGATTACAAATTTGAGAATTTATAAGTATGTTTTTTTATTGTTTTAATTTTAATATAATCACACAAATAATTTAATTGTTTTCAGTGTTTACAAACACACAAACCAGGGCTTATTGCCTTACATTGTCAGGAAGTTGGTGGGAAAAATTATGAGGCTTCCATGCAACATGTTAACCATTTTATAAAGTAAGTACACCATTACGTTGTGTTATAATTCTTTTATGTAATTAATACATCCCAAGTATATATGTTCACTGACATGTTTTATGACAGTTGATTATGATTTAATTCATGTTTGTCAGCAATGTTTTCAAGAAGATTTCAGTTTGAATGTTCTTAATGTATCAGACAAAAGTCTGGCTAACATCACTGGTTTTTAAATCAGTGATTTGCGACCTTTTCTCACCCACCCATAGCACAAATACACACAGCTTTCAAATATTAATTAAGATATTTGTAGAATTCATGGCTCCCTTTCCATAATACTCAGTAGTACACTTTTTAGAATTCTTATCTTTCTCCTTTTTGTGCTCAAGACACACAGGGCAGACTTAAGTAGAGTTCATCTGTTTCAGTGACTTCTGATGATGAAGCTGCATTGTGGTCAGCACTATGCCCAGCTGCCTTTATTTTCTCTAACATGAGTTAGATACCCATCAGAGACCTATAGCATTTACAACTTATCTGCCCTTAAAACCCTGCATACTTTTAATGCTACTATTAGTAAACTGTATTATAATTAGTGTAGTATGGTGTGTGTTGTTCTGGTAATGATGCAGTGAAATTGCAATCAATTACCTCTGCTAACCTTTTCCAGTGTGTTGTGCAGGCTCACACCACAACAAGCAAATGTCTGTTCAGTCTAAACTTATGTTTTCATAAATGAAACCAAACCTTAGTACTTCCTATAATTTCTGTAGCTAGAACAATAGTAGACTTTTTCCAGCTTTATCCTAAAAATGTTTTTATATGCTTCTTTGTTCAGTAAATTAAAGTGTTGTTAAACAATTGCAAATATACATTTCTTTAATACTTGACACTAATGTTAATAGATAAACTCCTTTTCATTGTTTATCATTTGGCTAATCTAGTTTTAATGTAATTAGGTGAAAAAATTAAAAATTACAAAAAGAAACTCACTCTATTTGTTGTTGTTGTTTTTCTTTAGAACATCTGAGAGCCTCATTTAATAATTAAATTATGTAATCATGAAATCGTCTAATCATGAAATAAACCCGTTTTTAACCAACAAACCTGTAAATAAAATCTGAAAGCTGCTCAAAATAGTTTTGAACCCTATTTTTTCTTCTTTGGGGCGGTTCATTAATGACGTCACACTTCTAGTGGGAGGGGGTTGGAATTTTGTTATGATGGGATGAGTTAGGAGTCCGAAAATGTGACTCTTTCTAATACTTTTTAAAAAGAAATATGAAAAGAAGAATTTTAGCCATTATTTCGCATTTTTTGAAAGATGTTATTGTAAACTGTATTAGAAATAGATTAATATATGCCTACTCTATGTTGGCCGAGCTCAGTCAATATTTTAGAAAAAAATCGATGTATTAAAAATATTAAACTGCCATTTCGGGGGGGGGGGGGGGGGAGGGGTTGTATGCTGAGATGTGACGTCACTTCTGGCTTTTTGTCACGGTGGGGAAGGGGAGAGGTAAAAAAAAAGCGTGACGTCATTTATGGATGACCCCTTTGTTCTGTTGAGTTGCTAGTAAGAAATAATTAAAAGACATTAAAAAACTTGAGGCAGAGTTAAGACTAAACAGCACTCGTGTAACAACCATATCGCAACTCTGTGCTGATAATTATGTACATTTTTAAGTAGTTTTTTCTTTCATCATTTTTACTGCAAAAATTACCAAGTGAACATAAAATTGTTATAATCAAAGATATGCCTTAATTACTTCCTTTGAGTAAAAAAGATGAAAGTTTCTTTGTGTTAACCCTTTTACCCTCCTAAATAGGCCTTTTAGAAAAAACGTCTGGTTCATTCAGCTGTTTATTAGAATAGAAGCTTCCTCAGTCAGTTTTTTTCTAGTATGTCTAGTTTGGTTGTTTTACCGTCTCTCAGTGTAAGCAGTTTAGACCTGGGTAGCAGCCAAAGACAATCATTGTTTAATTTAAGTCACATGGGTTACTCTGTTAAGTGGCGCTAACCTAACCGCAAGGAATGCTACCCAAAACATGTGTACACTGTGCTAAAAAAAAACAATTGGATTGACCCAGGGGCTCATTTGCCTTTCTAATCGTTGGCATCGATGTGATCATTTTATACCCTTCTATAAATAGCTATCTGGTAAACAAAGACCGGTGTTGGTATTTACAGTAGACATAACAGTGGTAGTGATATCGATATTCCAATTACATGCGTGTGTTTACTGGATCAATTCAAGATTACAAACATCCATTTTCTGCAGTAAATCCGTGACCCTGTTTTCATTTCCGTCTCATCAATTATTGTAATCGTAGATACAATCTTAGATTGCCGCGAGTCTATTCGACCCGTCCAATAAAAATAAAGGGATTTCGTCGAGATAAAGCAGAGGACGCTTTAGATAAACTTAGAAAATTGAATCGGTTATTTTTTTTATTCAGTGGATTTAAAGCAAGTTCAAAATATTAGACGTTTAGAAAATTTCCCCTTTATTTCTACGTCTGAAAATAAAAATTGACACGTGCTATTAACTAAGTAAGCAAGCCGTAAAAAAGCCTGATAAAGTTAACAAGTCATTGGTGTATTATAGAATAGGAAACATTTGGCGGCACCATCCGGCTTATAGATCTATGCTATCCGAGGACGAAGGTTAGGGTTGGAAAACTCGATTATATCTCTCGGATACGAAAATTTTTCCTAACTCGACTAAGCACAATTCATTTGCGTTTTCTGTTATCAAACAACGGTTCTACTAGATCTAGCTTTAGAAAATGCATATCACCGCATAAAAAAATCTAAAACCTGGCGACGACGTAAGGGCAGAGGCGTAGCGAGGGTGGGGGGGGGGGAGGGGCGGGGGGTGCGGACCGCACCGGGTGACACCATTTAGGGGGGTGACACCAAGGCAAAAAATAGTAAAATATATAGAGAAAAACTTGGGGGGGGGGGGGGGTGCAAATCGAAAGTTTGAGGAGGGGGGTGCAAATCGAAAATTTGAAAGTTTGTCCCGGGAAGGGTCGCTACGCCTCTAGGGGTGGGGTGACACCCGACCTCGCTACGCCACTGCGTAAGGGGGCATTCCATTCGAGATGATTGGTAGCGAAGGGAAGTACTAATTAACCTCCACATCTAATCTGTTAAACCATCAACAAAAAACCCCGTGGATCTCTCTAGTTCTTGGTATGACAAACGATCTATCAAGTATGATGTTTCTCTTTAAGTTGTTTATAATATCCTAAGTTCTGGCACCATACTGCTTCCTTACTTTTATTACATTAACATGGCGATATGCTATATGTCGGAGTGGAATGGAGGGAGGGGGGGGGTGTGTTCAAGAAGTGTAACGTAACATTTTATTTCTAATTTCAAAAGTATAAAAATGATCAAAAACTTCCAAATCGTTAGTTTTTGTGTGTGTTCATGGAGTGTTAGACGACCCTTACTGGCTAAAAACCGTATGTATGGTCGTGATGAAAGTAATTGTACTGCCATGTTTTCTCCCGTCTCTTTGCTCTATTTTACGCTTGTCCATACATCGACTTTCATTGTTAACAGTTACCGTAAACTTTACACTACTGCTACCTTACGAGTTGCACCTTGAGTTTGTGTAAAATGGTTTTATGCGCGTATACAGAAGCATCAGAGCACCAGAGATATGCTGAGTAAAGCCACTGTCACCTTATTTTCTTGCTCCCCTAGGACGTTGTTAGCTTGTGAAGAGCTCCACAAGTACGACAAAGCACGAATATTTTTGGATGAAGATTACACAGCTTCAGACAAGTTTACTGCAAGTATTCTTTCAATACCATAACATAAGAAACCAAACTGAGACTGTGGGCTAGGTATTACAGTACAAGAACGTTAGAGGGGTGGCTCGATATTGGACCAACCTCGTTAAAAAATAGTAATGAGTGTTTATTAATGCGTATGTCCCCTATACGTACTGTCACGCAGCTGTTTCATGTTAACTGTGTTATAGTGAGTACATTGTAAAACAAGAAAACAATGGTTCAGTGTTGAGATGGAATTTTTGTCAACAATGTAGCCTACATGATCAATATACGACTGACGCAATGAGATTAGTGGGTGTGGTCTAGTTGGGGCCAGCTTATGGAAATAACAAACCTCTGCCATGTCAGGGTATCCTACAGGTACAGCCACGTGATACTACGGGAGTGTAGGTACAGGTACACACAACGTGTCATGTTACACCCGTAGGTAATTTGACACACTGCTACTTGTACACATAGCGTTTTATAGGTACTGGTGCACAAAACTTAATATAACGTATAATCTTTACAGCTTTTGTCCAATCAATAACACGTTTACTTATATGCTTGGCTTAGTAATTGTTCATATTAAACTTTGCGCTAACAGCTTTTAGTTCAATAATTTACAGCAGTTTAATCGATTGGACTTTATTAAAGCCGACCGATGTTATTACCTATTTTTTTAATGCCATACAACAGGCATTAGCGAAACCAAGTTTTACTACATACTAAAATACTAGGTTACATGCAGAATAAACCATTGAAGAATATTTTGAAGTTTTCTAAATAGCTAACAACGAAACTGTGAAGTTGAATGGCGTTTGGTTAGAATATCTTGAAAGAAGTCCAATACAGGGGGCCTACAGTAGGCCTGTATGTGCCGCCTAAATAATATCAAGTCCAATTATTTAAGTTTGAGGTTTGTTGTGTCGCAATAAAGTACGTTAACATTGAATATCCCTGAACTATATTTTATTGAATTGTCTATATAAAAAAATAGTTGTACTTTAAATTGGATTAAATTTGACTTAGATCATCTACCGAGGACCCATCTGTATTTTGAACTTTAAGAAATTGCTCAAATGACAAATATAATGTTTGCCCTGCCGGTTTCCCCAACATCAAACTATGGAAAGACATCTAACTTTTGTAAATGACTAGGGCATGTATGCTAGGTGTCTCTGCCAGGCATATTAGTGTTTTACTAGCGGTGTTAGGGTAAATAAAAGTATTTCGTTTAACATCATTTCATTAGAGCAACCTATCTGGATCCTATGTGTATCAAATCAAGTTGCTACCACTACAAAGTAAGGGTGCGGGTGTGATCGCCTAATTTATAAACATGTCCTAAAAATTCCGTCTTTTCTTGATATTGCTATTGACATCAGTCCCCAAGCATGATATGCTATAGTTAACCATGAACATAATCTTTTCAGGCTTTAGGAAACATGTATTTTATTCACGAAGAAGTGTCCGACGTTTTGATATGGGACTTCGTCGGTGAGTATTTGTGTTGTATTTGTAGTACTGTCCAACTGATTGTGTTGTAAACAGTACCACAGTTTTGTCGTGAGATGGAACAGATGAAACGTTTGTTTGACTGTGTCGTGCTATGATTGCAAGGTGCACTCTGGTTATCTTACCTCTGTCATGTCCTACTGGGTAAAGTGGATGCTTTAAAAGCCTCTAGTTCTTTGAGCATCCTAATATATTTCAACATGTACTGAGACGTAAACTATGTTTCATCATGTAATTAGAAGTAAAACCTACTACAGATTAGTGTATTTGTTAGCTGATTTTTTTTTGCCTCTAAGAATTCAAATTTTAGTCTTGCCTTTCTCATTTGCAATTACTCTGTAAGCTTGAGTTTAAACTGTTTAGCGGCTACTGAAATAAACAGTCTGATGTATTGATTATATTTGACACGCTCACACCTGGTTTACTCAAGTCTTTTAAACACATTAAAAAGGGGAGGCATGCGCTCTGGTTTTACCTGTGTTAAACAGGTAACCAGTGAGGTGCAAAAAAAAGTTGTTCTGGTAAACTCATTGTCTCATCTGGCTTGAGTTATCGTGACCATTCATCGTACTTTCTACAAGTCATTTACGCTGTACTGACAATGTTTTCATCTCCCTAATCTTCAAACGCTATAAAGTAAAACATCTTCGTTGAAAACTATTTTATTTTAAAAGATAATTCAGGAATAGCTCACTGAGCTATCTATAGGCTGACTATTTAATATAAATCTTCCACGTTATGTTGACAAACATGTTCCCTTAAATAACAGGCGACCTAAGCAATAGCAAACGTGTGGATGGAACAATCGAAAGAACTCCAGGTCCTAGCCAGCCAGACCATGTTTACAGTACAGCATCCAATCTCTTCCTGTCTATCGCTCTCTGCTTTATCACACGAGCATCTGTAAATCGTCTGTCTAATGAATAGTCTGGCCATAAAACTGCTTGCTCATACCTGTACTCATTCATTGGAGAATAACGTGCATATCTTGGGCGCATGCGGTGGTTATGTTGTGTATAAGCGGATAATTAGATATGCGCACCCTTTGATTTGTTCGAGTTTTACTAGAAAAACTCTTTATGGTTTTTGTTTACCCTCTCTCTGTGCTATGGTTACATTATTTTTTGGTTGGTTTTAAAGGGAAAACAGTTTTAGCTTAACGTTTAGGAAAACGAAATCCCACCCGCAGCAAAAAAAAAAAGATTAAAATTTAAGCTTACTTTAAACTGTTTTATTTTGTTCTTTAAAAAAAAACACATCTTTAGCCACGCTCGACGCATTTTACATTCACTGTGAGTGGGGGAAAGTATTCGCTATCCTCCCATGCAGGTGAAAGTCGGCACTATCATCCAGTTAAGCACTTGTCGACGCCACCAGAGTATAACTTAGCATTGTACCCAGCAAACCCATTTCCCCCTTGTTCTATTTTAAGTGTGGGCTTCTTAAAAACTATTTCGTCTTAATCATTTAGAAGTATAAGCAATAAATGCCATAATTTTCATTTTGTGCTTTTTTCTATCAGCCTTTTTAATTACCTACAAGTCACAGCAGTATATAAAACGTGTTATCTTAAACTGGAATTTTTGTTTAACGTTGTGGTAGTGGCCAACATTTGGTTGTTGTTGTGGCCGGTAATGTATGGTTTGTTGTGGTGATGAGTGAGTCCACACTACCATATGACATCTTCGGCTCCTGTGTTTTGTAAATGCTCTGTTTCTGTTTTTGTTTTTACTGTACTTCCATTAGAAGAAAAATGTACTAAAACATTTTTTACAAAAATACATTTATCTTTGTCGCTTATCGGTAACCGCAATGTAGCAGCTTAAAACAAAATGAAGTATAATTTTATTAACATGCGGTATCTGGTGGAAAGTATTTTCACCATTTTGGTGAATTTCCCCTAGCACGATAATATCTTGTAGTAACTATAGAGTGGAAACATATTCGACTTCGTGTGCTGATGTATTCACCAAGCTACTTAAAACAACTTATCTTTGATAATGAATAAAAGAAAAACAGTCGTTGTCTTTGATGCCATGTCAACTCTAGGTTTTGAAATGTTCAGCTGATTACATGACAAGAATTATTAAGTAGATTAAATATGCTGCGATGACAAGGTGTCACGTCATTTGCAGTATTTTGTCTGGTGCGTGCGTGACGCAAAGAAATGACGTCACGATGACTATTGATTTTGCTCCTGACGGCTGCTGAAATGTTGTCAGTGCGATGGATTAGCCTTCATTCCTTCACTAACGAGACACTTGTGCCACTGTTTACTAACAGGTGCTAAACAACTTAGGAGTCTTTCTTTCTTTTCTTGTTTAAAGGATATATATATATATATATATATATATATATATATATATATATATATATATATATACTCCTGGTTTGAGGGTATTTACTGACCTTGTGATGGTACAGTTGTTGTGTGACAGGATTTTTCTCTCTCATTATTTATCTTTATTGCTTGACCTCATCCACTTCTCGTCAAGTGTCTCGAGCTTTAGCAAAAGCTAACCCCAACACGTTTCCCCAACGTTGCCATTGTTTTGTCTTAATACTTATCCTCAAACTGGCAATAATCAACCCTTACCCCCCATCTGTGCCATTAGACACAAACTTGTCCCCAACTTATCGACAAACTACCGTTCTAACCATACATTTAGCACGTAGCCTACATTTAGGCTGTCGGGCAGACACTTCCATAGGAATACAATCATGTAATAAAATACTTAAAAAAAACTTTTTAAAAAACCACGTTTTTCTTGTAGACTAAAAAGTAGAAAATAAATTTTTCTTTTGTGCTTCCTCGAGCTGTGCAGATTCTTGTGATGACTGACAAAAAACGTGGGTACGTTCACCATCAAATTTCCCGACCCATCTGCCGACCCACGTTTTTTGTCAGTCATCACAAGAATCTGCACAGCTCGAGGAAGCACAAAAGAAAAATTTATATTCTACTTTTTAGTCTACAAGAAAAACGTGGTTTTTTAAAAAGTTTTTTTTAAGTATTTTATTTTCTCCTTTTTAGTCCGTTGCTACACATGAAAAACGTGGTTTTTAAAAAAGTTTTTTATATAGTTTATTTTCTACTTTATCTAATGACTTGATTAAGTATGACTTGACTAAGTGTTTATAAATACACGGACTAAAAATCTTGAGCGACCAGGATTCGAACCTGGGTTGTCGCGGCCACAGCGCGAAGTACTAACCACTATACGATCACGGCCAGCGCGCTCACATCGATTGGGGCCGAAGTAACTGTGTCAATAGGCCTCCAGTCTTGTCGGTATCTTTAGAAATCATGTCCTCAATTTTATGGTCCTTGGGGCGTAATTAAATTAAGCTAATTACGGTCTCTAATTGCTAGTTTTTATGATTGCATCTGAAATTGTTAGGCGAAAGTAGCCTGTATGCCAAATTTCAGATCTCTAGAGCAATCAGAAGTGGGCTAATTTTCGATGTCAATTTTAACAACAAACAAATCCATCCACAAACGCGAAGCTGAGTTAAGAAAAACGTTTTAAAATAAACGCGAAGCTGAGTTAAGAAAAACGTGTTAAAAAAAACATTGCCTTTGGTCGAAGTCGCATCAAGTATAGAATGTCTGAACTTTGGCAACACTAAGCGAAATAACTTGCTTATAACATTAGCAGCTTTACCTGTTGAAGATTAATTGTATTGTTGTAATACTATCGTAATACACATATTCAGCAATACGTATCTACACTTTTTATTGCTTTTGTATATATAAGGTCACCATCGTTTTTCTCTACATAAATGTATACGGTTGATTCTATCCACGGAACGGACACATTGCTAAATCACGACGTACGGCGAGGGTTAAGAGTGACATAAAACTTGATTAACTTTTTAAAGGAAAGAAAAATTCTGCAGCGCCAGTTCGCTTAATTTACTTTACGTTGGCGTTAAAAGTATTCAATCCTAGAGATCGATAACTCCACATTTTCAAAAAAAAAAATTCTTCCTATTAAGACCTTTTTATTTTCTATTTTAAAGAATTCTTAGCATCCGATCAATAATGTAAAAATAGTTTGGCTAAGATTTGACTAGCAAGAACAGCCGTTGTTATAGCATATTCCAGCATCTGGATCACTGGTCGCATGTAGTTAGGGCTAGAAGGCCGCTAGATGATTAATTATCTTCGTTTGGCATCAATAAATCTTTCTCACGCTGGGCACAGCTTTGTTGTGTGCCTTGTGTCGGGATCAATAAATCAAACGGCAAGCACGGGGAAAGTCTTCTGCTGCCTGTGCTAGTCAGTAGATGCAGATTTATGTCGTTTACGTGCCGTTTAGCCTACCTATATTTCACCCACTGTTTGTAATGGCGCATGTTTCCTTGAATAAATAAAAAAAAAACATACTTTATCAGCGGCGTAGGCAGGGGTGTTTTCATTTACCCCGTATATGTATATGCCACTTATTGTGATAACGTAAAATAGTGGTAATAGCTATTCACTATTTTGATATCGACATGAGCGTGACATCACCAATAGCGTGAGAAAGTTGGCAGTTTAGGGGTTTTTCGGGGTTTCTTACCCAGTAATTACCCCTGTCTATGCAACTGTACAGGTTTCATTTTGAAAACCCAGCGAGAAAACTCATTGAGAGATAGTGTTGTGTTTATTGAAATCTCAGAGAAACACAGTTCTTGAGTTAATGTTGAAGTAACTACACAATAAAATACTTAAAAAAACTTTTTAAAAAACCACGTTTTTCTTGTGGACTAAAAAGTAGAAAATAACTATTTACATACATTTGATGACAAAAAACGTGGGTACGTTCACCATCAAATTTCCCGACCCATCTGCCCGACCCACGTTTTTTGTCATCAAATGTATGTAAATAGTTATTTTCTACTTTTTAGTCCACAAGAAAAACGTGGTTTTTTAAAAAGTTTTTTTAAGTATTTTATTTTCTCCTTTTTAGTCCGTTGCTACACATGAAAAACGTGGTTTTTAAAAAGTTTTTTATATAGTTTATTTTCTACTTTATCTAATCACTTGATTAAGTATGACTTGACTAAGTGTTTTTAAATACACGGACTAAAAAAATCTTGAGCGACCGATACGCTTTAAACAGAGAAAGGGTGTAATTTACGTTGCTGGCGTGGAGATCTACTCACGAATCACGTGATCAAATCTCCCATAAACAAACAAATAAACGCGAAGCTGAGTTAAGGAAAAACGTGTTTATGTGTATTTTAGCATGCCCAGCGTACCAACCGTGTCACCGTTAACAATATGTTACCGTGTCCGTTCTCCTTTTTAGTCCGTTGCTACACATAAAAAACGTGGTTTTTTAAAAAGTTTTTTTTAAGTATTTTATTTTCTCCTTTTTAGTCCGTTGCTACACATGAAAAACGTGGTTTTTAAAAAAGTGTTTATAAATACACGGACTAAAAATCTTGAGCGACCAGGATTTGAACCTGGGTTGTCGCGGCCACAACGCGAAGTACTAACCACTATACGATCACGGCCAGCGCGCTCACATCGATTGGGGCCGAAGTAACTGTGTCGATAGGCCTCCAGTCTTGTCGGTATCTTTAGAAATCATGTCCTCAATTTTATGGTCCTTGGGGCGTAATTAAATTAAGCTAATTACGGTCACTAATTGCTAGTTTTTATGATTGCATCTGAAATTGTTAGGCGAAAGTAGCATGCATGCCAAATTTCAGGTCTCTAGAGCAATCAGAAGTGGGCTAATTTTCGATGTCAATTTTAACAACAAACATCCAAACAACCAAACAAACAAACAAACGCGAAGCTGAGTTAAGAAAAACGTTTTAAAAACTGAGATCAGTTGGCTGCTGTTTTTCCGAACTACGAACACAGCTTAGTTTTTTTTTTCTTTCGCTAGCTGCTTCAAGCAAAGTCTTCATTTCTTATACGTACATGTAGACACTGTATCAAACCATTTTTAATAAATTATCCACAATGTAAATAACAGTGCAGGCTTAGATGTCAGCCTTCGTACATTTCGAACATGCGCAGTAACTACGTGTGAAGAAAACACGGCAGTGGTATCGTTAAGTCATTTTGACGGTGCGTGCTGCTACCTTGCTCCAAATATTCGGTTTCACTCTTACACTACACGTTTCCTTCTCGTGGAGGCACTCACTTGCCGCGACTGTTACGTCTATAATGAGCACATAAACACGTGTTGTTTTTTCAGTACTACCCTCCCCCACCCACCAACCGCACTTTTGCACTGTGAATAACTAAACATTTTTACGGCACGTGCCAAACATTTTACTGCGATACGATCTATCACAGGTGGACTTTCACTGAGGGTATTCGATTTCTTCTAATTAGAAGATATATTTTTTCACCCCTTTCTCGGTCATTCCAGGTCACATCTATGTTAGCGTTGTTAACTACACAATTAAGTCTTAATTTTATTAATTTTGTTACAGTGATCTAAAGAAGTTTTTACTCAGCATAATTGGTTTTCATCAGCAGTAGCGTCAGCCTGTTAGTTGTTGTGTTACAATTTCGTTTAGTCTACACACTGTCTATTTTATGAAGTCTAAAACATAAGTATTTGTGAGTTTTCTTATAATTCTCCAACTAAATTGTGGAAACTGTGAATCTGTCTCAGTAATGAAGAAGTAAATTTTGTCCTAGTTTATGGCACCCTATTAGTGTCAGCATCCTAATTATGATTAGCAGATTGTTTCTGTTAGCTCCTTGAAGCTGCAGCTCTCTCCATGCTACATTACCCAACTTGACTGCAGTCATCCCTGCTTTCTACCTGTTTTCATTCCAGCTTTTTTAAATTTACTTTTTTACTCACTTAAAAAATAAACTGTTTAAAAAAAAGTTAATAATTACCTAACTGGTTTTTAGAAACATTCTTTGCATTTAGAATATTTTTTTTTTGCTGCTAGACTTAAGAACTGTTAGCATTATATCTTCTCATACATTAACTAGTGTTATATCAGTCAGCAGCAACATAAATAATATAATGTATATATCATGTCAGCATGTTGAATGCTCAGTTTCCATAGAGGGGTACATCTTATGTTTGTTACCACACTGCCATCTTGTGGTTTCTAAAATAAGTGATGGGAATTTCTTCATTTAAAAAGAAAATCACAAGTTTCATCTTAATTAAGAACAGTTTTATATTGAGTAACCAGAATATGTGTGGGGGCTAGTGGTGGCAAAGTCTTCATCTAACCACTCAAAATGTGGCAAAAATAATAGAGAAGATCAGAAGCATTGATAGATAACATCGTCAATTTTTACTACTATTTATACATAATAGAATTATGTATTGGAAAAGTATACAGGGAAAGGAAAGAAGATAATAAGTGGAATTAATTAAATTTTAATTCCCTATTTATTTTTTAGTTCTAAAATAAAAGTTTTTGCCATTAATTGGAAATTATTTTTATTTTCTTTAGACTGCAAGTTCATTGAAGTTGAAGGACGTGAGGTGACTAACTTTTTTCTACTTTTTGGTGGCAGATGTTTTAAAAAAATTTCACTATTTGTATTTTAAAACTGCATTATGTAAAAAAGTTTCCCATAGTTTTGTCTAGTTGAATTTTATCTTTATTTAAAAAAAAAATTCTTGTGATCTTTTGTCAACAGGTTCTGTCAGGAAATATTGAAAATGTACCCATCAAAGAAAAAGCAAAGTTTCCACAACACTTCTTTCCAGAGGTAATTTTTGAGACGTTTTAATGATTATTTTTTATTGTTATCAAACATTATAAGCTGCTATCACTTTATTGTCTTTAAAAACTTATGCTGCTTTAAAATAAAAATGAACAAAAATGTTTTACAAAATTTTAAAAATTTATTTGGCAACTATTTGTAAAAAAATGTACCTGATATATTTTTACAGTTCAAATGGTCCCGCAAAGGGTTTCTTAGGACAAGATGGAGCATAAATAATTGGTTAGTATTTATAGTATCTTTGTTTTAATCTAAATTAAACTGTTGCTTTTTGGTTATTTAAAGTTTTCATTTTGAAAAAAATGAATGCGCAAGTCTGAGTTTTTCTCTACTGATTTAGATATTTTTTTCTCTGTGTGTAGTATATTTGATTTGGTCAACATTCATCTCTTCCATGATGCTTCTAATATATTGGCAATGGAGTCTGTAAGTTTTAATTTATAACGTTTCATATACTTTGATTTTGTTTATTATTCTTACAAACTTATTTAGGTAAATAAAAGAAGTTTAACTGATTCTAATTTGGGCCAAAAAAATTTTTTATGTTTTTTAAGTAGAATGTAGAACACTTGTTTAATATTTTATAACTCTCTTAATGAGGATTTGTAATGGTTTAGCTTAAGTAAGATGTTATGATTTATTGACTGAGAGTTGAATGAAATGTTTTCATCTTTCTTTTAGAGTCCATCTGTTTACTCAGCCAACAGACAAAGGGCACTACTCCACACATTGCAAAGGTGAACAATTGTATTTATTGTCTGGTCCATGGTCTAAAATTCTCTATGGTAATTGACTTGTATTGGAGTGTTAGATAGCACATTTGTTTAATATGAGCTTGGACCCGTAGAAGGTCCCTAGAGCACATAACTCTGATTGGTACCTTACTCAGGACAGGTAACTTGAATAAACAGCTGGGCATGTGTTGACCACACAGTCTTATTATATGTGATGTTATAGTAACAGATGGAGTCTATTTTATGTGCCCTATTTACAGTCAGATTTGGAAAATTTCAATTTCTTTTTACAGACTTTTTGCAAAATTAGTTACTAAAAAAATTTTGTTTGTGGAGAAAATACCAACTGGCAAATAATTGATAACACCTCTGTACTTTGGAAACTAAATTAACATCCAAATATATTTAAATCATTTGGTTACTATAGAGATAATATAAATTATTTTTAGCAAAATACCCAATGTTTTGGTAAAATCTTCAGACCAATTCATATTGTTTGTATGTTTTGGCAGGTTTGAGAATGATAAATATAGCAAAGTACCACTCTTCATATTTGGTGATTTTAATTTCCGACTAGACTCCAATTTGTTAATACAGGTTAGTCACATAAATACTTTCACAATAAGAGCCCAAAGAATGTTAAATGTTTCATTTTATATTAACAACAAAACAGTTTTTCTGGCTTCTATTGTGATTAAATATGCTTAATATGCATGTTTTTATCTATCATTTAATTGAAGCATATTAATGAGTTTATTTGTATAGGAACTGACATCAAAGCTTACTGCCCATCAATTCAGAGGGAAAAAAGACAATGTTAACAAAATTGAATACACAGAAGATGGCAATGGAAAAGTATGCTCTTATATGTTACTTAATAGTCAGTTTTTGGTGTATATATGCATTATTATTATTGGGTTGTTTTGACATTTTATTGACTTTTTTTTATAATTTATGAGCTACAAAACTGCTGTTATCTTATTAAAAAACCAGGTGGTACTTACAGTAGGAAGTAAAAGTTTTGATTACTATGATAAACACACAGATCTCTTCTCCACCATGAACAAGAGGGTGAGTACTTTCATTAGCACAACATAGTAGAGTGTAGCTTGTGTTGACATTTGTTGTTTAGCTTGAATATCTTAAACAGTTGTACACTTTTTTGTCAGTTGCACCAGTATGACACAGAGCTTTCTTCATTTAGAGATCGTTTAAGTGAGTTTGAAATCACATTTCCTCCTAGGTGAGTTAGTCAGCACATAGGAATGATAATTGTCAGAAATGTAACTTGTCCTCAGTTTTAAGGAAATATTTTACCTTGAGGAAAATCTTTCACTAAAAATTTTAAAGCATAGAATTAAAAAAAACACTTGCATTTCAGTTTTTATTTACTTTAATATTTCCTCAAAATGTACAATTTCCACCTGGAAAAATCTGAAAATAAAATTGATATAAGACTATGCATCCAACATTCCTGCACCGAAGAAAATTTGTTTAGTTGGTCAGTTACATCTCTGAATAGCTAATGTTACTTCATATCCCACTTACAACTGTTGACAACTTTATAAGCCTATTGCTTTATCCTTTGTATAGTTACCCTTTTTGTGAAGATGTGGCAGATGGGATATCTTACATGAAAACTAGAGTCCCATCATGGTGTGACAGAGTCCTGCTCACCCACCTTGCTAGAGATGTACTCATACAGGTAGCTCTTCAACACTTACAAAACTAGGTCTAAGTAGAGACAAAACTGTAGTCTTACAGTTGATTATGTTTATTTCATACATTTTAGGACCCCTCTCATCCAGTTATTTATGACCTGATGGGCAAGGATGTTTGTATGGGTGATCACAAGGTGAGTTTGAAACACCAATCTTTCAATACATATGTAACTAAAACAATGTTTACTACTTGGCTGGAGGTTGGGTAAGCTCATTACTACATAGAAAGGGTTAGTAAAAAATTACTAGAAAACTTTAATAATTAAATAAAAATGCATGATTTTTAAATATAAATAAAATAAAAAAAATTTCATTCAGAGAATTATTAAAAGTTTCTCCTTTGCATGTAAACCCATCTGAAGGAAGATCAATGGCGCCTTTATTTTTAACTTTCTTATCTTGTCATTACAGTTATCTTCTTTTTTATTCACTTTATAATTTTCAATTCTCACCTTATCTCAATTTTCAACTCAAATCTAGGCATTAAACTGGATTAATCATTTTTTTACCAAATTTTCAAAATATTTTTAAAAATTAATAAAAATAAATTAGATTCTACAGCTGTAATGTTAAGGACAGCACTCTGTATGATTTTAGGGCTGTAAGAAGAGCCAAGTTATAAGGGAACCATGAGGATATGTTGAGCTAAATGTGACCATTGTATAACATTTTCAGAAAACAACAAAACTTGAAAAATGGTTGGCCAATTTTTTTTAGAAGTATCTGGATAGGTTAAGAATTTTTTTTTTAATATTTAGAAATACTCCGTGACCTTGCCTTAAGGTAGAATCTTTTGTTTTACTTTCATCTAAAAAAGATTCTTTGATTTCTATTTTTTTCAGCCAGTCTATCTGTTTATACACATGAAGCCAGGCAAAGGTAACCATGAGCAGCAGGTGGAAATATCACCTAATTCTCCCCAATCTAAACCTCAGAATTTGTCTCGATACCGCACTCTGTCTATCAATGGGGAGCTTGTTGAGGAAAATGAATTTGACACTCTAAATATTCATGACTATGCTACATTTGAGCAAGAAAATAATCTTATCCCTGAGTTTAGAGATAGCATAAAGAACAAAGTTCCGCTTGAAGCAAACACCGACAGGCTTAGTTCACCTTCTCACCCACCAATAACTAGAAAGAAATCTTTCCAAGATGTTGCTAAGCAAGTTTGTACGATAGAGAAGGTTCTGAAGCAGTGGCCACGTCGGCCTAGAAGCCGACACCATAGCTCATCCTCTGAGGACTACAAGTCAGATGAAGCTGCCAGTTTAGCTAGTAATGTAGACCAGAACTTGGATAGCTTATCTAAATCTGATGAGAGTGGGTCTCATGTTTCTGAGGCCAATAATAACCAGAGTACATCATCATACAGGGTGGGAGATAACAATGTTGAAGCTAGTGGGGGGATAACCAGCAGTGACATTAAGGTAGAGATAAGTAAGAGAGATTTAAAAGCTGAATCAGAGAGCAGGCAGGCTTGTGGAGATGATGGTGATATTTCCAAAAATGTTGTGTTGCTTGCTCAGCATGCCGGTGATGTGCATGTGGACAGTCCAGCTATACCATGCAGTAACCAATCTAGCGGGAAAGAACAGCAGAGTAAAATAACTGAAGATAGAGCACAGGCCTCTGGCTTTCCTGCTGGATGTTGTAGCTGTGTTGTGCTGTAGTTTTGGTTCTTCATCTCTTGGTGTTGTTTTCATGTGTAAGTGTACACTGATTTCAGTCTTAAAGATAAAAACTTTTACCAAAAAATTATATTTTTGAGCTATTTATCTGGAAGCTTACAGCCTAAAATTGAATTTTTTGACATCATAAAATAAAAAAAAAACCGAGTAATACAAAACAAAAATTTAAAAAATATAACTTTGGATTTACACAAAACTGGAGACTTGTCATAAACATTCAAAACAAAATTTGTCACCAGAAACCTAACAGTCCAAGGACAGTAAATTTTACAGTATAAAATATATCTGAATTTATTCAATCATTTTTTACAGTATAAAATATATCCAGGATTTATTCAAACATTTTCAATGCTTATTTCTACAGCTTTCTTTAATTTGTTAAAAATGTTTTCTAAAACCAGAAACAGGAATGTCATTCAAGTAATTCCATGTCCGGCACTGCTTTAAGAGTGCACTCTAATTTTTACACATTGTAGTCGGTGTAAGATCAGTGGGGTCTTTTTATAATTTCAAGTTTGTTTTTTCAACATTTTTTGAAAAGTTTATTTTTTGTTATTTGCTTGATGGAAGCCATTTTGTGTGTGACTTTAAGCCATTGGCTAGCAACTACCTTTTTAGTTGTATCTTTTCGTTTACAAGCTTGCACGTTGATACCTTTTTTATGTAGAGTAATTTATTTATTTTTTGGTGTTCATTTCTGTTTTTTTAATTTAGTTTTAAATTTGTTATGCGTGTGAAAATTTTTTTTCTAGTTTTAGATCAACTTTATCTAGAATTTAATGAGCTAACCAAGTAAAATTTGAAAATACATTTCACCTATTGTTACAACAAAATTATTTATTAGGAAAAGAGTTTAAAAATGAATTTAAAACTTTAACATACTGTTTTTTCTAATAGTTCTATTATATAGCTAAATGTTTAAATAATTCTTAATGAATAAAGCCATGTAGCATCTACTTTTAATAATGAATAAAACCTTGATGCTCTGTTATTATTTTGAGATGGTTTTAAAACCTTTGTATTTACCCTCAGCTCCCACACCTAAAGCTGAACTATCTGCTCTTCCTGGAACAAGTGACATCATCATTCCCAGCACGCAAGTCAAGATCTCTGAGGTGGACACAACACGCTACATACACATACGACAAGGTGAAAGCTCCACGCGAGTCTTTAGGGAAACATCTGTATGACGTAAACACTTGATTTTTATCTTGTACATTTATTTATTTGCCACCTTAAATAATCAAACATTATTTTTTGTGTGATTAGAAACTATTTAAATGAAAAGAACTTACAGAAATCCAAGCCTCTCTTAGAAATAAAATGTTTCATTAATATAAACCATTACTCATACATTATTGTTTTAAAAAATGTATTTTGATAGACAAAAATTTTTTTAGAAGGTAGAATGTTCTTTTAAAAAAAAATCATAAATATAATAACATCAAAGTAAAAGATTTTTAATTGAACCATGCTGGTGTACATGTATAAAATATTTTCTAACACTCAGTTTGAACCCCATTTGTTTTAACTGGTTTGTGAAAGAAAGCAAATATGTTGTTGGTGTGATGTTTGTTTTTTACTTTGATCATTTTGAATGTTAAAAGCTGCCATATTTTTTTCTCAAGAACTTTTACATCTATTTGATAAATCTCATGCCTATTTATCATATAGGACAGGTTCCTACATATTATCTAACCTTGGTCCATCTTTTGAGAGAGTAATACCTAGCCTTGTGTAACTTTTTACTTGAAAGTTAAAGTCACCTTTAACAAGTTAAATAAACTCTAAAATTAAAATGCACCAGACATTGCTTGTACTCAAGCCACTGGTATACAGCATCAAACTACTACACTCAGCAAGTCCCATTGTGTACTAATTGGTCTGATCCGTCTGTATTACCATGGCAACAATATTAAATACTAGCCCAGTGTCTAAGATATTCAACATACATTAACCTGAGTAAATTGCTAGCAATAATAAACAGTAATAAAGTTCATAATAAGAAGACAAATGCAAATATTGCATACTTTGAATCAGAGGTGTAGCAGGGGGTGTGGGCCGCACCGGGTGACACCATTTAGGGGGGTAACACCAAGGCAAAAAATAGCAAAACATATAGAGACAAATGATAACTCCACTTAATTAAGTGATTAATTCGAGTGTTAAATAGTGTTTAAAGAGGTGCAAATCGAAAGTTTGAGGGGGGAGGGTGCAAATCAAAATTTTGGAGGGGGGGGGGGGGCGCAATACGAAAATTGAAAGTTTGTCCCCGGGAAGGGTCGCTACGCCTCTAAGGGGTGGCATCATTAAGTGATGCACCGGGTGACACCCGACCTCGCTACGCCACTACTTTGAATGCTCATCAAAACATTGCTCGACATGGTATTTGGCTTAAAGTTTAGTATCTCTCATGACCTTGTTTATCACCCTTTAATAACTCGACCCTCTTACACAAATTTTGGTACTTTGTGAAATGTATCTGTTGTGTAAGTATTTCTGTATGAACTTCTGTTTCCCAACAGTCAAGAAATAAAATGGAGCAACAATTAAACTCACTCATGGTGCTTGTTACCAGCATTAAAGCTCACCATTTTACCTTGTGACAAATACTCTGAAGCCATCCATTAACTAGACATGTCCTGTTTTTTGCTTTTTTTTCCACCAATTTTTCAAGTTAGCTAAAATAATGGTGACAGTGCAAATGAATTTAAGAAATTAACCTAGAAATCTTATTAAGAGAAGAAAATATTTTGTTTGGGATTCTCGTACCGTTCTTTGATTATCCGATTTCAACATTCAAAAATTAAATTAAAATATTAATTAAAAATTAAATTAGATTGTTAGCTACTTGAGTTTTGCATTTGTACAATTTTAAATATACTTGTATTCATTAAAAAAATATGGTGTAAAATATTTAACTCTACTTGTGTAAAGTTGTCCTCTAGTATATAGTCAGCATAGTATTGCTCACAAAAAAATTGTAAATATATTTAGAATGTATATGTTTGTAATGTTGTAAATCATCAGAAAACTAGTAAATATAGAATGTGCAATATTTTATCCATTGCTAATGTTTAAACATAAGATATTAACAAATATATCTATACTAATCATCTCACACTACTTGTATCCAAAATGCACTTAATTCTTATATATCTTTCACAGTTTATATCAATACCTTCATATAATTCTTACTAAAAATGTGTTTTTGTATTTGTAAATTTTTATCCAAACAAATTAATTTGGTTGTGTGTATTCACTTCAAGTTGTCTCCCCTTATCAAAAATTATTTTTCTTGTGTTATTGTGCAGGGAGCACTTATTGTTATTTTTGTTTTAATCTTAAATATCACTGCTTTTAATTGATCTTACCAACTTGTATATAGTAGAATATATGGCCTAGCTTAAATTAAGTTTACATAGATTTCCTAGTCTCTGCCAGGTATTTAAAGCAATCTTAATACCATTCTTGTATTAATTTTTTTTACAGAGTGTGCTTTAAAACTTCTTAATTTCTTACAAAAAATGATTTTTATAGCTTTATTTAATGTAACTGTTCCATATGAAATATAGTTCTCATAGCTTTGTTTACTAGGAAGTATGGGTTGTTTAATTACAAATTTTTGAACAAGTATGAGTCTTAAAGCTTTGGATAGATATAAAAAATTTGAAAGTATGGGTTTTAAAGCTTTGGTTTAGTAAAAAGAATTCCAAAGAATTTTTTTGTTTTGTAGGCTGGTTTACTGTAAAAATAAATAAAGAAAATGTGATTTTTAAATATTTTGTATTTTCAAAAATTCTTAAGTAGAAATGAGTTTTATAATTTGTTTACTGTTTAAGGAATCTCATGTGTACCTCATACTTTGATTGTAACATTTCACACTATCATTTTGTCATTGTTTTTGCTCAAGTGTGATCATACAGTCATAAACAAAACGGCATTAGATCGTGGGTGAAGAGCGGTGTAGTGGGCACAGCACTTAATTAATCATACCGTCAAAAATGGTAACACAATTATTTTTAAGAAATGTAACATCTGTTTTGATGATTTTAACTATAGTATTTAGAGACATTATTTTATCCTATAATATGAGCATTTTTTACATGGATTTATTTCTTAGTGCATTTAACATTTGGTCAGTAGAGAATTTATTTTAAATACAGTGCTATAAAAGTCTCAATTATCACAGGTTAGACACCCATCAGGTAAAATGTAGGCAGCTGTGTGATTTGGAAATCATTTGTATTGAATGTGTTGAATGTTATTTATACTTTCTCTCCTAACATTTGGCATAATAATTTTTTAATGTATCAAATGTGCACAGCAATGATTTCAATGTTTTTATTTCTTTGTGTTATGCAACTCTATTTAGTCATAATACTGTTGATCAGCAGCAATGTTTAAAGGTTGTATTGTCTGTGACAAAGGTTAACTTCTCTGCACCAAAAAGGCTAGAGTTTGATTTGATTTGACTGCAGTCAAAGAATTGTTTTAAGGGTATTTTTGAGACAGTTGTAGGGTTTTTTTTAAACAGCAATTAGGAACCATTTAAGTCAAAGCATTAAAAAGAGGTTATTTACATAGAATCTGTGATATATAAATACTCCGTGGTTTCCATAAAGGTTGTCTTACTTAGAATCTTTCTAGTCTTTTTTCTAAATTTTTAACTATTAAAGGTTTGAAATTTTAGTTTAAAATATTTTGTTCATATATAAAGCAACATGTCTTTTAGAAATAATCTCTGGTCATAATGAACTTGGTTAATTCATCAGTTTTACTATTTATCTGTACGTGTATATGTTAGATAGGCAATCAGCATTTTTGGTTTATACATATTTACATTTTGATTGTCTTTCATGACAAAAAAAAAAGCATAATACTTGTTCAAGTTTACAGCAAGTTCTACTCCTTTAGTTTTTTAATTAGTTGTATAACATGGTGTTCATTATTCAAAAAATTTGCTCATATTCATAATTATTTGAAGTTTTTCAATATTTCAACATCAGAAATCAAGAATGTTTTCTACATTTTTAAAATTTATACTTTTGAAACTATTTAAAGATTGATATTGAAAAGGTTTAGCAGGTTATGTGGTGATGATAGGCTTGTTCCCATAATTCTAGTTAATCAAAAGGACTATCCAAGTTATCCACTACTCTAACTCATGAACATCTGACAGTATTGTATTGCCACTGTATCTCTCATCTAACATTTTCTCATTGTCATTTTTTTAGTCAATAAAACATTTAGTCCTGTGTGCCTTGATTTTAGTTTTTCTTTTTGTTTTGTTTTGTTGTAAGTTTATGTTTTCTGTGTTTTAAAATTAATCTCAGGCAGTTGTTTGAATTTACTAAAACTTTATAAAAAAATTCTTATCAGGTTTTTTTGTTATCATACCTACAGTTATTACAGATGTATGTTTTCCTAGCTTGCATGTATTTTGTAAACAGTCCTGTTTTCTGCATATTTCCATTGTGTTTGTGACCAAAGTTACCTTTAGGAAGAAATGTAGTAAGCAATGTGTATTTAGTGAGCGTGGTGTTCTGTAAGTACAAGGATGTATGTATTTTACACAACTACTGTGTGGTTTCACAACCACACAGCTTAGAGGGTACATTGTTAGTAACAGTCAAGCTGTTGAATGTCCAGGAAATAGATCAGCCTTGCTTCAACATTTGTTTATGGGATTAATTCCCCTGACTATAGAACTCTCACTATGTCCAAA